TGCTGATGTGCTGTTCTAATCGTTTTTGGATAATCTTCAGTAGAATCTTGCTTGCATGTGAAATCAATGACACTGTTCTGTAGTTTCCACACGCTGTTGGATCACCCTTCATATGTCAAATAGAACAGATTTTAAAATTGTGTTCAAGTCTATGTTAAAAACTGGGACCAGAGACAGATAAGAATTCTTAAAATAGGTTCTGAATGCTTTTTATTATGCTGAGGTCAAATGTTCAAATTCTATGAATGAAACATATGATAGCAGAAAATTAAGGATCTAAAACCAAACAGGCTTATAGACACAAAACTATGACCACAATTATTTAAAAATTGTCACTCACAGTAGAATAGTCTAAGCACAAAAAGAGAACGAATAGAAACAGTGAAAAGTTTCCATATTTAAGGATGTCAAAACTGAGAGAGATGGGTTTTGGTAAAGAAAAACGATTTAAGAGGATGTCTGTTTGGTAACTCAAAGAAAGATTCAATCACAATTCTAACACCATTGCAAATAAAAACAGTAAACAAGTTCAGAGTGTAAAGTGGTTATGGAGAAAAAGCAAGTTTTAATCGCTTCCCAACACTTTCACTCATGTTAATAGAGAGACCCTATAAACAACAGATCTGAACCGTGTCCTATCCTGTGCCATCCTCACAATCTCTAACATATTTTGAGACCATTGCTGCAGTCAGTGTGTCAACCTATCTGGACGAGGGCCTTCCTCTCTTTCGCCAGTCCTTCCAAAAAGAGTCTCACCGAGCAACATGCCCAAAATATGTGAGAAGCTTCATCATCTTTGCCTCCAAGGAGCACTCTGGCTGCATCTTCTCCAAGATTTACCTGTTTAGCCACAGAATCGCTAAATATTCGATAAGGATTCCATTTCAGTGGAAAATAACAAAAGAAAGTACAGCTCCAAGCTTATTTCCTTTTTCTACTCAAATACAATCAAAATACTCAAACCTTTTCTATTACCCTCCCTGGGGTTCTCGTTTCATCTCGCAGGGACTAGAAGTGGGGTGCGGGAAGAAGCCAATTCAAAGCTAATATATACTTGCTACTATCAATAAAAAGAGACAACCACAGAGGAACAGTGCTCTGTCCAGGACAGGGGCCGCCACACCTACCGCAACACAGAACCCGGATTAGGAGGAAAACCCCAGATCTCTTACCTCTAAGTGTCGCAAAAGCTGAGTGGCGTTAGCCTCCGACTTAACGGCTTTGTATTGGCTGATGGTCAAGAGCAAGGACTTCAAGCAGGCAGTGGAGTCCATCCGGACAGCCCCGAGCCACGCCGGGTCCAGTACCACCAGCACGGATCTGTCAGATCCAGCATCCAGCTCTCGCCGCGCTTTTTTTGACTTGGGTCCCCACCCCCTTGAGTCCATTAACTTCCGGTTCCTGTTGTGCTCCGGAAGTCCTTAAACTTTCCAAGGAGGGTGTCAAAGAGAAAGTGGGGTGCTTTGTGCATTTGGTGGGTTCCTAACGGGAGCTTAGATCTCCTCCCTCAAATGCACCTTACAACCCCCCCACATCCCTTTGTTCTGCCCCGCGAGGTTTCACTGTCGAGATCCCGTGAAAACAGGAGTCTCGCGAGAAATACGATTGCTGGTCAATTCCTAAAGCATTTAAGCACGACGGTGGGGCTTAGTGGTTGGCGCTGCTCTTTTTACTCTACCGTTACACTGAATTACCATCTTTCTCTTTGAGCGTCTTTCTCTACCTGAAAGTCTAGATATAGTGAGGAGCTATACTTAGGAGACTCTTTGAGCGCTAGTTTTTTCAGGCAACCTTAAAGGGACTTTGTTTTCAATCTCTTCCACCCCATCTGCCTAGAAAGGATTTCTCATAGTGAACTCTTGGCTAGTGGGAGTTCCAAGGTTATCCATGCACTTAATCTAGGCTGTGTCATATTTATTCAAGGAATTACTTCTGGACATCTAGACTCAGTAATAGTGCATTGGTCTTCAGTGTTGCTTAATTAGCGTCAATGCCTGAAGTGATCTGGCAGGACTATTTCATAAATGTCATGTCTTTGAAAATGGCCATCTTGTTTGCGGTTTTTATTTTTAACCAAAGTAATCAATATGCATGTGTACGTGTTTTAGAAAGTTAGTCTAGGTTCTGTAGCCTTAGTTGGTGCTACTGCCTAACAATTGTTTAAAAGCCAGGTTATGTGGAAATATTTTAAGGATAAATTTAATTCTCGAGTTAATCAAACATTGATTTTATAAAGTCAAAGAACATTATTTTTGTAACATTACTATATTTTTCAGGGAAGGGGATTTTTAAAAAAATTAGTGTTTCTTTTCCCTTCTTTACCTTTTCTCAAAGAATAAAAAATTATTCAGCCAGTTGAGCCAAACACATAAAGAGTTATCATTAAGTAGTCAATTGCTGAGTGTAAAATTTGTACAAGTCCAGGTACAAAGGTGATGGACCCACTGAAAAGTAACTGTAAAAGTGACTAAGCAAATAATGCACATAATGATGAGAAAGAGTGGATGTAGTGGGTCTGATGACAAATCTGGACTTCACGTTTTTATTAATGTAGTAGGCAAGTTCATTCTAGTGGCATTATATAAAATTTGACTAATAGAAGTAGTTGTTTCCTTGGTTTATTCATTCCATAACTTTTGCATTTCCAAAGGCACCTGGTTCAAATCCTCCAGTTGTCCACAGGAAAAGGGTAAGCAGTCTACTCCTCTGTGGTTAGGTGCCTCTGAAAACCCTCTAGAAGGTCAGCTATGGGTGTGTTCTGGCCAGATGGTACACAACACCAGTGCAACCATCATAGTGTGCCAAGCACTGGGATGGTGATAAATAACAAAAACTGTACAGCCATGGAATTTTTATCCCTGTAGCAAGACAGACAACACACATTAAATACAATAATTTTTTAAAAATTGTATGGGGAAAAATATACAGAAAAGTTAATATCCTGGAATAATGGCAGTTCAGAATGAAGTGGAATAATTTTCAATAGAAAAGTCAGGATAGGGCTCACTGAGAAAATATTTGAGGAAATAGTGTATGAAGTTGAGAGGGACCATACTGTTCAGAAGAAAAAAAATTCTAAATACAGGCAATAATAACAAGAGTAAATGCTTGAAAGAGGACTATGGTAAAGTATTAATGTGTATTAGGGACTATGGTAAAGTATTACTGTGTTTTAGGGATAGGAAGGTAGCCACTTCAGGTGCAATGGAGAAAGCACAGATGAGGATGCATGAGGAGGAAATTATATAAAGTCTTAGATAACAATAAAGGCAGTTTGGCGCTTCCTCAAAAAGCTGAGCATAGAAATTCCATAAGACCTACCTATTCTTTTACTTAGAATATATCCCAAGAAAATGAGAACTGAGAGTCAAACAGAGACTTGTACACCAATGTTTATAGCAGCGTTATTCACTATCACAAGAACATGGATGCAGCCCAGATGTCCAACTACAGACAAGTGGATTGAGAAGTTGTGGTACATTCATACAAAGGAACACTACACAGCATACAGGAGCATTCATTTTGTAAATTGCTACCTAACTTGGGAGGGACTGAAGAGCATTATGCTGGGTGAACGAACTAGTCCCACAAAGGACAAATACTGTATACAACCGTTATTGTAGAATGAGTATGAGGATCTAAGGAGTGTGAGGATGGGGAGTAGTGCTTAATCATAGGGTTGCACAATTTGATGGGGGATGAAGGAAATGGGAAGGATCTTGTATGAAAAACAACTTTGTAAATCAATCAGTACATATATAAAAAAGCCAAACTAATTTCTGCCAAATTGGTTCCAACTCATCACCAGCCGTCCATCGGGATTAGAGAGCTATAGATCTGAACACAGAAGAGAAGACTGTACATCCCTCACAGGCACTGATGGAATCAAACTTCTGGAGATGCACTGCCTTTTGTTTAGCAGAGCAACATGCTACAGACTGTACTACTAGAGGTCTGTAAAGTTTTAAAGAACTTTGCAAAATGCGTTAATATGAAAAGTTTCAGAAATTTGTATGGCGTAATTAAATTCTTGGTATGTTTTGGCTGTCATTTGGTGAATGCAGTAAGAGTTTAATCATACTAGACTTTTTATCTTATGATGACAGTGCATCGTCATTGAAAGGAGCAGTTCTGCCTGCAGTGTATGTATCTTTGAAACCATGTGTTTTAATCGAAATAGTGGTGCAAAGGCTACATTGCTCTCTATAAATTCATATTTATATAGAAAAAGGTTTTCTCAAAAGTTTTCATGAAAAATTGGTGGTGTAAGTTTAGTAGGATGTACCATGTTTGTAATTGTGAGGACCTTTGATAGCTTTAGTCAGAGATATATACATATCTTTATTTGAGAAACAGCTAGACATTTTTTTTTTTTAAGTGGGGAGGTTTTCCCCTATAGAAGCAGAAGCAGCTTCCTTTTTTTTTTTTTTTTGTTTTAGTAGCCATCGTTCAGGTTTAATGAAGACATAGTATACAAATAGGAATTAAACATTTAAATGTAGTACAGAAGGAATATGGTAACATTAAACTTGGCCAAAACTCTGGCTTTTTTTTTTTATCATTTTCATACAGGTCAATCTCTGTGCTTAAATTATCTGTTTGAAAAAGTCAGATACAGTGCTGGCTTCATATTGACATGATCAGCTTTAAAAAAATTATACTAATTTATTCACAAAATTTGAATACATTGTTTCTCATACCAATTCCTTCCCATTTCCCTGACACTCCCCACCCATCAAATTGTGCGATTTAATTCCCACCCCCATCTTCACACCTCTGCTTCCACCCTCCTGCCCTTTGGATCCTCAGGCTTATTCTAAAATAATGGGACCATATTTGTCTTTATGGGACTAAGTCCACTCAGCATAATGCTCTCCAGTCTCTCCCAAGTTAGATAATAATTTATAAACTTATTGCTCCTGCATGCTGCGTAGTATTCCATTGTGTGAATGTACCATGACATCTCAATCCATTCAATTATGGTTGGACATCTGGGCTGTGTTTTCATGTTCTTACAAGGGAAGCAGCTAGACTTTTAAGCTTCAAGTAGGGAAGAGGCAACGAGGAGAGTGGGTCTGGATGACTGAGTTTGAATTCCATTCTGAGTTCAGGGGTAATCTCTTGTTTTACACTCACTTGTTTTATACTTGAATCTGACCCAGTCATGTTTGTATCTTAGATTAACTGCTCTGGAAGCGAGACAGGTTATGGTTTTCAAGAAGTGAAAGGGATCAACTTGATGGTACCTAACAAGTCTAGATATAGTAAAACTGTATTAGTGGAGTTTGTCCAAAGATAGTGAAAGTGTAGTTAGAGAAAAAAATGTCTGCTCAAGGGACAGCAAGGATAGTAGGAGTGTTGTTGTTGTTATGTGTCGTCGAGTCGCTTGCGACTCATAGCGATCCTATGAACAACAGCCCTAAACCCTGCTCTATCCTGTCCCAATCGCACTGTTTCCAATACACCCATCCCCATTACCCCAGTCACTGAATCAATCCACCTCATAGAAGGTCTTCCTCTCCTACACCATCCCTCCACCCTACCAAGCATGATGTCCCTCTCCAAGGACCGGTCCCTCCTTACAACATGTCCAAAGTATGTCAGACGAAACCCCAGAATCCTTGCCTCCAAGGAGCAGCCTGGTTTAACCCTCTCCAGGATGAATCTGTTTGTTTACTTGGCAGTCCATGGTATATTCAATACTCTTCTCCAGCAACACAACTCAAAGGCATAAATTCTCCTTCTATCCTCCCTAGTCATTGTCCAGCTCTCTGATGTATAACAAGTGATTGCAAAGACCATGGCCTTTGTCTCTAGAGTGACACCATTGCTCTTCAGTACCATGGAGAGGTCCCTAACAGCAAACTTTCCCATTGCAATATGCTTTTTTATTTCCTGGCTGCTGGTGCCAAGACTGACCGTGGAGCCAAGCAAACTAAAGTTGTTAACAATCTCAATCTCTTCACCATCCATCCTGATGCTGCCAATTGGTCCAGTGATGAGAATCTTTGTCTTCTTGACATTGCGCCTCAATCCATACTGAAGGCTGCAGTCCTTGACCCTCTGCAGCAAGTGCATCAGGTCCTCCTCAGTTACTAAAAAAAGTGACACTTTTAATATATATGCGATGAAATGGCAGCATCATGATAGACAAAGAAGAGATTAAGATTATTAATAATTTCAGCTAGCTTGATTCCACAATCAACATTCTTGGTACAAGTAGCCAGGATAGTAAGACAAATTGTATTGGGAAAATCTACTGTCAGGGACCTCTCCAAAGTGCTGAAGAGCAAAGATGGCCCTCTAGAGA